AGTGAATCAACAGTAATACACATAAATTCTTATTTTGACATTCACAAAATAGTCACCTGGAAAACCCGCTTTTTGTGACAAAGTAACAGAAGGCTTGGTCACATTTAAATCACTGGAACTAGAGAGAAATACTATCGCAAACGTAATAGACATTACATCCATAAAAATTTTCCCATCCTTATTGTATATGCACAGTGCAATTAGCTACATGGCCAAACTAGTGTAGCATAGAAGTAAAAGCAAAAACAAGTCAAAGAAAGCCACAAGTCTAAAATTTTAACGTTAACAGTTCAAATTTAAGTAATCAAATCTATAGCATTGGATTCATTAAAACAAATCTTCTACACCTGCAGTGTAAGTAACCTTTTACTTAACACAAACCAGATTTAAAATTTTGCTAAGGGTCTTGTTATGATGTTTACACTGTACTTTCCTGTGCTCAAACTGATGGTCTTTTCTTCATCCTCCCTAACAGCTGAGACTATAGCAGTACCATTCTGTTCTGGCAGTATTTGTTATTTTTAGTGGCTGGAAATATTTAATTGGCTGGATTCTTCAATTTGCTTAAATATTTTCATATTCTACATTTTCTTGATAGGCAGAGTGACTGACAAGAATGAAAATTTTGAAATAATTGTATCATTTGCTATTAAGTGACCTCGTGCAAGTTATTTAACCTTTCTGAAACTTTTTTTGCTATTGTGTTTTGTTTTTGTTTTTTGCATATTTGAGACAGGGTCTCACTATGTAGCCCAGGTTAGCCTGGAACTGTAGATTCTCTTACCTCAGTCTTTTTTTTTTTTTTTTTTTTTTTTGGTGGTACTGGGGTTTGAACTCAGGGCCTACATCTTGAGCCACTCCACCAGCCCTTTTTTTGTGATGGAATTTTTCAAAATTCTTGATCTCTTCTTCCTGAGTAGCTAGGATTATAGATGTGAGCTATGGCGCCTGGCATCTGCCTCAGCCTTTTGAGTGCCGGAATTACAGATGTGTACCACATGAAGGTGAGTTTTTGTTTTTGATTTTTAAATAGGATGATACTTTGCTGCAGTAAGTGGAGATTTTTATAAAATCCCAGCTAAAATTTGAATAACCAATAAAAAGTCATAATTTCAGTATTTTGTAATGACAAATATGTAATGCGACAAGTACCTTTCACATACAAGCTCATTTAATATTTTGTATGACATCATTTCTTTAGGATAAAGTTTCATAAATGGGGTTATTGGGTTGATAGCTTTTGACTGTGTAGCTCAGGCTGACTGGCCTCGAACTGGCGATCCTCCAGCCTTAGCTTCCGTAGTGCTGGGATTACAGGTTTGTCTCATCATTCACTGACTGGAGTATAAACATTTTTATAGCATTTAGAAATGTTTTTCAAATCACTTTTCAAAAAATTTCCTTCAATTACCCAGCTAGTCACAAAGGATTTCATCACGCAGATTCCGTAGGAAAATTACGCGAAATCTTTGTAAGTGAAGGCTTTAATTGTTTTTCTGAAGTGTTTGAAGGTTTTTCCTCTTCCAACAGTAAGGCTGGATTGTGCGAGCCAGCCACGTGGGCTGCAGCTGCGGTTGCAGACTACAACTCCCAAAGTGCTCTGCGGGAGGGCCGACAGGAAGTGGCCGGAGCTTCTCCCGCCTCCACGCCGAGGCGAGGAGTTCATCCGGGCCTTGGACGCTTCCTTCCTTTCGCGCCGGTTGCCGCTGCGGAGCGCGGCGAGTCCATGTGCGCAGTGAGTGGCGCTATTCCTGGCTCAGTAGCACCCGTGCCCCGGGTTTGACCGAGTCCACGCTGCGATGGATCCCAACACCATTATCGAGGCCCTGCGGGGCACCATGGACCCGGCTCTGCGTGAGGCTGCGGAGCGCCAGCTCAATGAAGTAAGGACGCCCGGCTAGCGGCGGCGGCGGGCAGGCGGGCTAGCAGGCCCGCCCTCGGGGCCTGGCCGGAGGCGCGGACGGCGTCGCCAAGGGGCCCAGCTGGAGGGGTGGGGCGGGGACCTGACGGCTGTGCCACGCCGGGGCGGCTTGGGCTGTGGCGGCGGCGCCGAGGCTGCCTTTGCGGCGGATCCCGGGCCGGGCCTCTGGCTGTGGCTGGGGCGTGAGGAGCCGGCCGGGCGAGGCGGGCGTGACGAGCTGGACACATGGCCGGCTCGGGTGGCCGGCCGGCCGCCCTCTGGCTTGCTCCCAGCCTGTGCCTCGTGTCCAGGAGGGGGCGAAACTCCCCGGGAGGTTTTTCAGACGTCTCCGAACCCAGTCTCTCTGGCGCCGGGTCTGGGGTGGGGGGAGGCTCCTGGCAATGCCGAGGGGTCCACAGGAGCTGCGCCTGTCAGCCTCTTCTCTCTGGGCTGATCGGTGGCCTGCCGCTCGGCACAACTTCCTTCTCTCCGGCGAGCTGCTCTGGGCAGCTTTCAGATGGAAGCCTGCGCCTCTTTGGCAGGGCAGGGGTAGTGCGAGTTACATAGGGTAGTCTGATCTGTGTTCTACTGTCATAATGCCACTGTTGGAAGTCGGAGTGATGGAGTGGAAAGGGTCAGGTGAGGGGCACCCTTCTAGGTATAGCTGCACCACTGATTTCTTGAGTGACCTTGGGCCAGTCGCGTCACCCTTTTTGATCCTGAGTTGTACCCATTCATAAAATTAGTCCATAGGGTTACTGATGGTCAAGCGAGATAATGTAAGTCTGAGTGCTTTGAAACATGCCACACTCTAGATTATTTCGGATATTGGATTTGCTGAGGGGTGAGGGTTTTTTGTTTTTTTCCACCCCGCATATATCTTGGGGAGTACCCTTTGGAAAACAGTATTATTATATGGATCTAAAGTTCTGCTATTTTCATCGTCAGCTTTTTTTGGTTTTTGGTTTTTTTGCACTTGCAAAGCAGGTGCTCTACTATTTGAGCCACACCTCTGGTCCATTTCCTTTGGTTAGTTTGAAGATGGGGCCCCGGGTGGCCCTGAACTGTGATCCTCCCCATCTCAACCTCCCAAGTAGTTAGGGTTTACAGGCATGAGCCACCTGGGCCCGCCTTGCAGTTAATAAGTATTTGAAAGGCTCCTAAAACACCTTCTAATTAGTAACTGTGTTTTAGTATACTACTGAATTTGTCAGTTTTAGTGTGCACTTTTTAACTTAAAATAAAGAAATTCAGTTATTTCTGCTTTTGGCTGCTGGTAGGTAAGTAATTTGGAAGATAATTATTTTCATTGATTTAACAAGTAGCAGGGATACTACTAATTGATCAACTTAAATATACAGTGCTGTACTGTGATCCCTACCTTTAAGAAACTTAGAATTAAAGATCTCTTACAGTTTAGATGAATTAAGTGTAAAGTTATATCAAAATAAACATTTTGCATGAAACCAAAGGGTGATGGCATGCTCAGTTTCTTAGACTCAAAGCCACTTTGGGAAGAGCTTAGATTTCTTTTGAATATAAAATAGTAGAAGCAGATTCCCACTTTGAACCATTAGTAATAAGTATGGAGAGAGTTTTGGATTACTTCATGTTTTGACTTTTGTGTAGACATGAATTTCAATGAACTTTTTACATACAAAATACTAATGCAGGTATAAGCTTAGAAAACCTAGAAGTTTAATCATCGTTATTTACCATGACTTCACTCTAATACCACATTGTTTTGACAATATACTTGCATGTAATTAATTTTTATTTATTTATTTATTTTTGTGGTGCTGGGATTTGAACTCAGGGCCTTCACCTTGAGCCAGTCCCTTAACCCTTTTTGTGATGGGTGTTTTGGACATAGGGTCTCCCAGCTGGCTTCAAACCTGGATCTTCCTGATCTCTGCTTCCTGAGTAGCTAATAGTGTCATGCCTATAACCCTAATTAATTTTCAAAATGATTACTTGAGTTGATTCCCTTGTACAAGAATTGGATAAATAATATTTCCTGAAAATTTTAAATTAAAGTTATTCTGCAAACAGGTATTTTATGTCTAGTGATGTGCACTAATATAAAAGAGACCTGGTGTATTTATTTCACAAATTATATTTTGAAAGATAAATAACCAAAGTAATAAAAAAGTGGCCTTTTGTTTTGGTAGTGGTACTGGGATTTGAACTCAGGGCCTTTGAGTTTTGTCTCCAGGAGCCCCCATCCCCTTTTTCGCTTTTGTTTATTTTCAGGCAGGGTCTCATACTTTTACCCTGGTTGGCGGTGAACTGTGATCCTTCTAGCTGTCTCATGATTGGCTGTAGTTACAAGTGTGTATCATCACCATCCCTGCTTAGAGCCTTTTTTTTAGTTGAGCATCAAACTGCTGTTTGAGGATATAGTGAATGCTGCTAATCCTGTTAAAGAAAGTGATACCTAACCTGCATTTCTGAGATTGCTAGCTATTTCCTTTTTCCAAACATCCTTCAATTTATTACAATAGGTTTTTTTTAGTAGTTTTCCTAAGGAACTCTTTCAGAAAATTTACTCATCTCTAAACTTTATTCCATTTTAATGCACTCCTTATCTCTCTCTGTACTTACATCTGAAAACTTTACTTTGGTTTTGTATTGTTTTTTTGGTGACAGAACCTTGAGATTTAGGAAACATCCCAGATTAGTGTTGAAGAATGAGGAAGTAGCTCTTTATTTTTGAGAGGCTTTTGCTTTGGAAATGATAAGATGAATAGTCATTTGCCATTCACTAAAGCTGTATTTTGGCTAATTTAACTAAAAGAAAAAGTTCTCTAACATTTGAATGAAAATTTTCTTCAGTAAATGATTATTGACTAAAAAATTGTAAATGTTTTCAAAGTAATTATAGTATAGTTTCCTTTCATTCACTTATCTCCCTGATTTGTTCTCATTTCCTTACATCTCTTCAGATGTCTCCTTATCATAGAGGAGTTTCCTGACTAACACATTCCTGTTTCCCTAGGCTTGTTTTTCTCATATTTCTTTTTTTTTGGTGGTACGGGCATTTGAACTCAGGGCCTATACCTTGAGCCACTCCACCAGCCTTTGTATGTGTGTGATGGTTATTTTCAAGATAGGGTCTTGAGAACTATTTGCCCAGGCTGTCTTCAAACCATGATCCTCCTGGTCTCTGCCATCTGAGTAAGTTAGATTACAGATGTGAGTCACTGGCACCCTTATTCCTTTACACCATTCCAAATTTTTAAGTTTCATGAAGTCAGGAATTATCTTTTTTTTTTTTTTTTTTACTATTCTTTGATTTGCCAACGTTATATTTTACTTACTGATTACAGTAGATAACAATAAACAGTATAGGCCTTTGTTCTGTAACATCAACCTCACCTCAAGGGTGTTTGGGTTGTTTATTTTTTAGTAATATATAGATAAAATTAAGAAAATGCCATTGAACTGTTTTTGACAGGCATTTTCAAGTTACATCTGACTTACTATTCCCCACTGATTTATTCTGTAATATGTTGTGCGTTTTGATGCCTCTTTTTTCTTTTTCATTTTGGACCACTGCTATAATTTTGGGGACTCACTGTCAGATCCCAATTGTAGATATCTTCATGCAGCAGGCTTTGCCTTAAAATTGGACCAAACAATTGAAATGTACAAGTGTACCTAGAAATACAATTGAAAGCCCTTTAGACCTTTCAGATATATTTGTATTGTATTTTTATTTATTGTTTTGAGGAGGGCAGTACTGGGTTAGAACTCAGGGCCTCACCCTTGCTAGGCAGGTGCTGTAACACTTGAGTCTCTCTGCCACCCTTTTTTGGTGTTGGGTATTTTCCAGATAGGGCCTGGAAAACTATTTGCCTAGCCTGAATTTGGATCCTCCTGATCCCTCCCTCCTGAGTAGCTAGGATTATAGATGAGTACCACTGGTGCCTGGCAATAATACATATTTTTAAACTACTGAAAAGTTCTCTATAGTTCTCCCTAGCTATCCTTGGAGGATTGGTTCCAGGACCCTTGAGAATACCAAAATATCAAGAATAAATATCTTGAAATGGGTTAGTATTTACATATAACCCTTCTTTTTCTTTTTTTTTTTTTTTTAATGGACAGTGAGTGCTATGGCAAGTGCTCTACCAGTGAGGTACATTAGATTACTTGTATTAATACAGTGTAAATGTTTTGTAAATAATTGTTACTTATTGTTTGGGGGATAATGATGAGAAAAAAAAAAGCCTATATCTTTAGTACTGGTGCATTTTTCCCCTCTGAATTTCCTTGGTTCCCCTCCCCTAAGTTTGACCTCAGGTCCATTTGAACCATACCTCTGGACCTCCCCCTGAATGTTAGTTACTTTGAACTGCACCTGGTTGAATTTGAGGATGTGGAACCTCTTAAGTACCAGCTTTTTTTTTTTTTTGAGACAGAGTCTCACTGTGTTACAGTCAGGCCTGGAACTTGAGAACTTGATCCTCCTGCCTCAGCCTCCCAAGTGGTGGAATTATAGGTGTGATCTACCATGCCCAGCTTACTTTCTTTTTTTTTGGGGGGGGGTGCACAGTATTTGGAGTTTGAAACAGGGTCACCTCCAGCCCCTGGCTTAGGTTCTTAATCTATATAATGAAAACAGGGATCCTGTCTGTCATTGTGTTGTGATTGAGATGATGTCTGTAAAAAAATCTAGGAAAATGGCATCAGTAAGTCCTTGGCATATTATTTGAACTGCTGCTTATATGCCAGTTCACTAACAAATCCAACATGCCATTTGGATTTATTACCTGCCTTAGTCTGTTATCTTGTTAGTTTATATCTCAGTGGAAAATGGCTCTTTGGGCACTGAGATCCAAAGTAGGTAGTATTATTGTTGTAGGAAATTTGCACAGTTACAGATACATAGTGCCCGGCACAAAATAGGTTCACTATAAATGTTTGTTAAATGAAGAAAGAGATAAAAACTTGAATAGAGATGTTAAGACTATTCATCTT